TCTCAAGTATATGAGGTGGGGACCGCAATTGAGGACAAAAAGTATGGGAATCGTGCTAAAAATTTCAATAAGTCCAGGTTCCATGGGTCTAGTCAGTTAGCCAAGACTCTGAGCACCAATAAGAACATAACAACTGCCGCTCTAGATCCAAGAGCTACTAATGTGCCACAAAGTAGATTCTCCAACTTCGGCACTCCTCTCTCTAGAGCATTTGAGAATGTAAAAGCAGCGGGTTTATTAAGACCGCTTGCAGCAAGACCTCCTGTAATTCCTTTGCTAAGGAACTTTGACCAGAATGCATACTGTCACTTCCACCAAAGCAATGGTCACATCAGCGACAATTGCTTGCAGTTGAGAGATGAAATTAAAGATTCAATTAACAATGGCAAAGTTATTGATCCTGAGAAATCAAGGCCTAGCATGAGGACTAATCCACTACCTAACTTTCGTAAAGTGTCGCCTCCTAAAAATCTGCATATGGTTGAGTTCAAGGAGGAGGAAATAGAGAGAGAGAGATTATTGGAGCAAATCTATGTTATGGTGCTCAATGTCTGGGATAGTGATGAGGAATGGTTGAGCAAAGTGAGCAAATCTAGGTTGGAAGTGATGATGAGGAAGTAGTAAATCTCGTTATTCTGGATGTATGGATTAGCGAGGGTGAAGAAGAAGCCAAAATTGTAAGCCATATGACCAAAAGTGGTCGGATCTATCAGCCAGATATGATTAAGCCTCAAGAGGAGTAGGAAAAGGCAAGCTCATCGGGTGTGTCGAAAATTGAAACTGAAGACGATGCCCTAATCAAACAAATGAAAAGAACCCATGCAAATGTAAGCATGTGGGACTTGCTAGTATCGTCAAAACAACACCAAGAAGCTTTGGTAAAAGCCATGGTAGAGATTCATGTTTCATCATCCATTCTCCAGCTGATTTTATGAGGATAGTGCAAGATAATCCCCTTATTATCACCTTTTCAGATGATGAATTTTCTTAGGAAGGAAGGAATCATACTAAGGCACTGTTTATAAAAGTCGAGGTTAGAGGAAGAGTTACTGGAAATGTAATGATAGATGATGGGTTAGCCCTGAATGTATGTCCTCTAAAGCTGCTTTTGGAGTCCAAGATGGAACTATCTAATTTGGAGCCTTCTGATATTGTGATTAGAGCCTATGACAACTTGAAGAGACAGGTTGAGGGTATTTTCAAGACTATAGTCAAGGTGCGGTTGATAGAAAAGGAGACCGAGTTCATTGTAATCAATATCCCCCAAACATTTGCCCTAATCTAGGGGCACCCATGGTACCATTCCTTGGCAGGAGTACCATCAACGCTACACCATAAAATTAAATTTTCTTTCAATGGTGAAATCATCACCATTCCAGCTACAATTGAAAGGAGTGTAGCTAGCTTAACATGGACAAGTAAGTAATCCTCCCATGGACCAGTTTTCATATCGCTATTTGAGCACTGACATGGGGCCCACTGTCTCCAACATCATGAAGAGAATGAACTAAGAAAAGGGGAAAGGGCTTGGAAAGAATCAGCAAGGCATTACAGACCTACTTGAGATCCACAATCAGAGAAACCGCCTGGGCTTGGGGTATAAAATTGGTAGCACTACAACGAACACATACAGCTGGTTAGACATGGAAGGACAATTCATCTATTCGAGTGAGCATTCGTCTCCATGCCTGCCGATAGAGCCTTTTGAGCACAAGTGGAAGATGTACCTAAGTCTCGAGATTTTTGCAGATATGATTAATATCTTAGCAGTTGAGCCCAAGGAATTAAAGTCTGCATCAGAGGAAGAGCAAAAAGAAGAAGGGAAAGAACCCGAAGAAGAGGATGTTGGCTCAAAGGTCAAATATTAATCCCGAGATTTTGATGATTAAAACAAAAATAAATAAATTTAAATTATATTTGTGCTAATAATATTTTGTGCAGATTATAAATGAACGAGGCAAGTCCTACAAAGTCAAGGATTGTAATTATATTTGTGCTAATAATATTTTGTGCAGATTATAAATGAACGAGGCAAGTCCTACAAAGTCAAGGATTGTGAAGACATTTGAAGACCCTAGTGGTTAGATTTTTAGGATTCATTGTAGGATAGAGAAAACGTCAATTATAAGCACAAAAATCAATTTACTCTCACTTTATTAAAAAGGTTTTTCGAAACTATCTCTTTAAAAATTAAAAACTTTTTCTTTTGTTTCTTGTTTCATAAAATATTTTAGGAAAAGTTTACTTTAATTCTTCGAACTTTCTTAAAGTTCGATTTGTCCAAATTACCTAAATTAAAGAGACTTTGTCTCTAGCAATTTTGGTAATAAGAATAAATCGAATAAAGATCTTATGCACTACATTTTCGGAAACAAAACTTTTTGAAGATCCAAAAATCTTGATTCCAGAAAATCCTCTGATTCTTATTTTCGTTACCTAGACGAAGGAAGAATTGTATTTAAATTCATTTTGGGTAAGTAAATCTTTCGAAAAATTATTTCTGCAATATTTACTTTCGAGAAATCCTTTGTTTTTAAAGAAAAGATAGATTTGTCTCTTTATTTGCTTACCAATAAATTTTGAGGATAATTGTTGATCCAGAGTTTTTGGGTAACGAAAGGATTTTTCCATATCTTCTATTATAGGGAAAGTCAAAGTATTCTGTATTTGAAAAAGGATATTCACTTCCTAAAATTGAAGTCACAGCTCCTTCTCTATAGAAAAGGCTTTTCTATTTAAAAGTATGCCAGAGAAAAAGAGTTTTGAGAAAAGAGTTTTCGTTTTAAGAGTATTCATCCACTAATCATATCTTTTATCTCTCAAAACTTACTCTCTACCCCCTTATTTCTTTTCATCTTAATACTTTATGTTTTATCTCTAAAAGAGAAAAGGAATTTTATAACAACTTCTTTTGAAAAACAGTTCTGATTTCTAAAATGATTTCTAATCTTAAAACTGTTTTTCCTGTGCTTATATTTGCATTTCTATGTGTCTATTTAGATTTTGTAATCTTTAGTCGACAAGTTTCTATTTGATAAACTTTTGTGTAATAGCTTAGGTGAAAAGCTATTGGGAATAGGTTATCAAGCAACCTTCTCCATAAGAGAGATTCTAATGTCTTGAATTGAGTGAATTAGTTTCTAATACTCTCGCAAAAACAGAAAAGGGGATGAGTTAACTAGATACGCTTTGGAAAATCCTAGTGGACATAATGTAGATTCTAGGGAGTTGATTCTAGCCTGTACTGTTGGTCTTGTCTGCTAACCGATTGAAAGAGATAACATAGTTTAGGAATCTCAAGATGAGTCAAGATGAGTCTTGGAGAGTGGATGTAGGTGAGTTAGTGCTGAACCACTATAAATCACTGTGTTAAATCTTTTTACTTTCTGAAGACTTTCTTCATACTATTTTTACACTTTGTTTGTATTTTAGAAATGCTAAAGTTGTTTATGTTTTTAATGTTCTAATCCAAAATATGCTTTATCTTTTCTGAACATTAGAATTCTGGACTTCTGCTGAGTGAATATACCAAGTTTTAAACTGTTCTTCTATGTACAGTATATTTCACTACTTGGGTTGCTAATCAGTTTTCTAAACTTGATTAAAGCTTTGTGAAGCAGTTCAGATTTCGATAGCTGTCTCTCACACAGTCTTTCATGTTTTTCTAAACTTTATGAGTTTCTAAACCTTATGAGGAAGTTACTAATCACAATATGCTTTCCATTCATAAGCAGGTTTTGAACTAGTAAATAATTAAGACATTGTGAAGGAGTTTTTAATTGTAGCTGCACTTGCAAAGTCTTTTTCTATTTTTCTGAATAGAACATTGTGTGGTAGTTCAAAATCAAATAACATATTATACAAAACAAGTTCATTATTTTTCCGCTGCAAATAGGATTCTGAGTTTTGTTTTAAAAGTCAAATTTTTATTTTTAGAAAATCCAATTCACCCCCCTCTTGGGTTGTGCCATACATATATAGGACCCACAATCTGATATCAAAGCTTTGGCTCTTGACTTACCAAAGCTTAATAGCTTAAGAGTTAAGATCCTATGACAGCCCCACTTCCTTACTTCTTTAGAAGGTCAATCTGTTTCTAGACCTTCTTTGTTCAATGGTTCTAATTACTCTTCTTGGAAAACCAGAATGGAAAATTTCATAAAATATAAAATCGAGTGGACATAAATAGCTGTGGAGGGAACGTCTACTTAAGCAGGTTCCCCGCGTATTTCCTATGAAATGGTAAGAAATGAGCGATTAGAAAATTCAGTAAGAAGAATATATGCGTGGCTGAATTGGAATGATATTTTCTATCAAGCAAAAGCCCATGAAAGTTTTCAATTGTGCGTTTAGATGCAACAGGAATATACAAAGTGGTATGAATGTTATATTTGCAACGAAGTTTGGGAAAAACTTAGAGTAACCTATAGGGTGAACAGAAAGAGTCTGAACAGGAATCCAGAACTAAAATTCCTTGTGGAAGAGAGATATGAAATGTTTAGTATGAGGAGAGGAGAAACTATTGCGAAGTTAATTCTAGATTACTAAAAAAGTTAAATCCTTCTGAGAACTCGTGGAAAGGAAATTTCAGAAGATGAGTCCTATTAGAAAATCTTTAGAATTCTAAGCTAAAAAATGGGAATGTCTAGTAGGAATTGTTAATGAATTACATAAGAGACTTCGGATTCTATAGGAACTGTTATGAATTACAAAGAGACTTCCGTTACTTATGATTACCTTATAGGAGCTCTTGTTTCAGAAGAAATGAAATCTTCTCTAACAGTGGAAGATAAGAAAAAGAAGGGTTTGGCTTTAAAAGTAGTTTCCAGCAAAGAAAGTTCTTCTGATCTTGGTAGTGATGATTTAGCACTTGTTGCTAAAAGATTCAAAAATTTCTATAGGAAGTGTGGAAGGCCACAGAAAAAGTTTGTTAAGAAGAACTTTCCACCTAAAAATAGCAACTTACCTAAGAAAGAACCTTCTGAAGTGGTTTGTTATGAATGCCGAATAAGCCCGGTGAATGCAATAAGCCCGGACATATCAAACCCAATTGTCCTAAATTGAAAAAGAAGTCAAAGAAAGAGAAGCTGAAGCAGGCATTCGTAGCTGCTTGGAGCGATTCATATGATTCTAATTTTGAAAGCCAAAGTGACCAAGAAGAAACTGCCAATATTTGTCTGATGGCTACTATCAATTCTGACTCCAAGGAAATCAGTTCTCCAACTTCAACACAGAAAGTTAAAATCAATGAAACAGATGCAACAGTTCAAAAGCTTGAAGAAAACAATGTAAGTATTTCTGAACCTGAATCAGAAATTATCTTCTTGATACTTACAATAACCTTTGTAATGAATTTGAAAAGCTTGTTAGAAAGCATAAAGTTCTAAAGAAAGATTTCAGAAAATTAAAAACTGAATCTAATCCATTTAAAAGATGTCTTTTATCAAGGAAGTTATCATGCAAAGATTTATAATGAGAGATCAAAGATTTTAAAGATTGCCAAATAGATTTCTGAAGATCTAATAACATCCTTGGAAGACAAAATGTAAAATTTTGAATTCTAAAAAATGAATCTTTAAAAACTGAGATTAGAATTCCTAAAATCATATTTCCAGAATCATTTTCTCAAAGAGAAGACAAGGTTCTAAGCGATGTATTGGCATTTCTAAAATTTCTAAACAGAATCATGTTTCTAATAAGAAAAATGTTGTTTCTAATGTTGTGACTTTAGAACATCAAAGTCTTAACAGAAAGAAAAATTATAGTAAGCCAAATGCACATGTTACCACTAACTCTCTAGGACCCAATATGAATTGGGTACCTAAATCTGCTTGATCTTTTCAGGTGTGCCTAAGGAGTGAGCTGAAAATAGAAATGTGGTATATAGACAACGCTTGCTCTAGGCATATGACTGGTGATAGAAAGAAGTTCACTAGATTAGAAAAGAAAAAGGGAGGTACGGTAAGCTTTGGAGACAAAGCAGGCACAAGCAAAAGGTAAAATCGTTGGGTATTGGTGTCGGTAGGTTCTGATCCTTTCAATAGAAGATGTATGTCTTTTATTGGATTAGGTTCATTATAACTTGTTAAGTGTATAGTCAGATTTGTGATAAAAAATAGAAGAGTGATCTTTGAACCCTCTTATTTGTGAGAGTTCCAGAACATGCATGGAATAAACTTTAATTTGCTTTGGATAAAGGGTTGGGCATATATACTAGTAAATCTCTGTCGATATTCATAACCATGATATATTTTAAATTTCTGTTGATAAAATTCTAATTGTTTATGGCATGGAAGACTTGGTCATGCAATGCATGCACCCTTATTTCTATAATCTTGTCTAATGAGATTTGGTTCGGAGTTTGCCAACATGAAAATTTGAAAAAAGATCACATTTAGTGATTGCCTTGTCAATGTGGGCAAAACAAAGCCAAAGACTATTTCAAATCTCAGGGCATGGTTTCTACTTCTAAGACTTTAGATTTGCTCACCTTTGATCTTACTTCTCGGACTCTATTACTCCTTAGTTCTTGGAGGAAAATTCTATGCGTTGTTTGTTATTGTAGATGAAGTTAACTGCTAATTACCCTGGACACTCTCCTTTAGAAATCAAGGATGAGTCCAATATGACTATGTTTGTTCAATTATTTGCAGAGAGAATACTAAAAATGAAGAAAGGAGTACAACAATCTAGCATTAGAAGTGTCATGGGAGGAGAATTTGAAAATCAGAAAATTCGATGCTTTTTGCAACGAGTCTAGGAATCTTCCATTATTCTCAGCAACCATAGAACACCTCACAAAATGGAGTAGTGGAAATGCAAGAATAGAACACTTCCAGAAATGGCTCAGAACCATGCTGAGTGATTATCTAGTCTAAACTACCTGAAAGTATTTCTGGGCAGTAGCCGTTTAACAGCTGACGTTATTGTCTAAATAGGCCGCTTTTGGTCAGATCTAACTTAAAAAGAATCCATATGAAGCTATACAAAGGATAGAAAACCAAATTCGTTATTTTCAACATTTTTGGGTGAATGCTTTGATTCTAGTAACAAGAAAAATGCATCTTGCAAATTCTTGATGCTAAATCTTAACTGAACGGAATTTTTCTAAATATGTCTAGTAATAGTCAAGCATATGGGGTGTCTTATATAAAAGACTCATACGTTTTGGAAGAATCTATTCATTCGTTTGTGTTGATTGAATCTGACTCTCGTCTACGTAATTTTAGAAAATGATGTTGTAGATTCAAATCAAGAAATAGCAGAATGAACAATTCAGAATCAACTAGAAGACCAGACCGAGAAAGCAGAGCAGAAATATTGATAATTCAGTGCTGAAACCAGAAAAGTGAACATGAAAAGAGTCCAGGAACACAGTTGAAAGTCAATGCCAGAAATCAGAATAATGAAGATTCTCATTACCAAAAGAAGTGGCGATTTCATAAGTATCATCCCAAGAAGAATTATGGATAATCCTTCAAAAAGGTGATGACGGTAGAGCTATATCCAGGATAAGGAGATAGTCTTTGGTAATGTTGCTTTTCGTTTTCAATTAGAACCCTAAAATCTTAGATAGATGCTCAGAAAATGTTGAAAGTTGGAGTTCTTGCTGATGCAAGAAGAGCTCAAATCAATGAACATAATACCAGTTTGGAAACTTGTTTCTGCCGACCCTAATAAAACCATTCTGTTATTGGAACAAAATGGGTGTTAGAATAACGTTGATTGAAAAAGGTAATTGTTTGTGAGAAATAAAGCAAGTTAGTGTGCTCAAGGGTAACACAAGAGGAAGCGCGCATCGATTTTTTGATTGAAACCTTTGCCCGTTCTAGACTTGAGCCATTAGATATGCTTTGTGCATTTTGTAGGTGTTTAAAAACTTCATGCTGTGATCAATGGATGTATAAAAGTGCTTTTTCTAAATGGTTTCTAAAATGAAAGAAGTGTATGTGAGACAACTCTAGGTTTTGAATCCAAATGATAAACTAATTATGTTTTACAAACGACTAAAGGCTCTTAATGGTTGAAGCAAGCTCCTAGAGGCTTGGTATAAAGATTAAAGTAAGTTTGTTACTAGATAAAATGGTTTTCAAGAGGAAGAGGTTGGATTACAACAGCTATTTGATCAAAATAAAGCACATGATAATTCTGTTGTAACAAGATATATGTTTGATGGACCTAATGATTTCTTTTGTAAGGGAATTTTCTACAGTTATATCATGGGTGAAATGAGTATGATGGGTAGAATTAAACTTCTTTCCCTTGGACTTCAAAATCACACAATTGTGATAATGGAATTTTCATAAATAAGAAAAATATACTAAGAATGTGTGTGAAAACGGTCAAGAATGAAAATGCCACCGGTATGTAATAACAACACCAATGAGTCCATCCTCAAAATTAGAAAAAGATGAAAAAGGTAAGGATGTGGATATCAAATTGTTTAGAAGTATGATTGGTTCTTTACTATGTCTTACGGCAAGCAGACCTGACATACACTTTAGTGTTTGTCTATGTGCCAGATTTCAGTCATGTCTCAAATAATCTCATTTAATTGCTGTAAAAAGAATTCTAGGATATCTTTGTGGAACTTCTAATCTGGGTTTGTGGTATTCTAAAGGCAATACATTTGATCTTGTTGGGTATAGTGAGTATGATTTTGCAGGAAGTAGAATAGATAGAGTAGAATAGATAAGAAAAAAGCACAGGTCTTGGAACTTTGCCAGCTTAGTTTCTAGGTAGCGCCCTTGTATCATGGTTTAGCAAGAAACTGACATCTGTTGCTCTTTCTACTACAGAAGCAGAATATATTACTGCTGAAAGTTGAGTTGCACAAGTTCTATGGATCAAGCAACAACTAGTAGATTATGGTTTGAAATTAGAAACAGTACTAATAAAATGTGGCAGCATAAGCTCCATCAATTTATCTAAAAATCCAGTCCAGCATTCTAGAACCAAGCACATAGAACTTAGACATCACTTTATACGTGATTATATACAAAAAGATGACATAGTGATTGAGTTCATTCCTATAGAAAAGCAATTGACAGATATCTTTACTAAACCTTTGAATGAAAGTCAACTTTACTAAACCTTTGAATGAAAGTCAATTTTGCTTAATTAGAAGAGAACTCAGTATGTTAGTTCTAAACTCTTAACTTTAGAACTCTGTAAGTATGATCTAAACTGCTTTCTATATTTGAGATTGAAAGATATAATCCGTGCTATGTTCTAATACTTTATTCTGTGTGTCTGTGAAAAACTTTTTTGTCTAAAAAGAAATGCATATTGCTCTGATATGACTTTCTAACGTCATTATTAGAATCTAGCCTTGGACAAAATTCAAAAACAGTCAATTTGTTTTCTTTTGTGTGTTTGTGTTACTATGTTTTGTGGCTTTTTTTTTACGGTATTAGTTTTTTAAAATTCTCTGTGTCGATTTGAATTTTCCCTAAAACTGTCTTATATTTTCATTTTATTTATTTTTTAATGTTTCCTTCTTTCCTAAAATTTATTGCTCAACTTAATCGTTCCTGTCTCTCTATTAACTGCTCTATCTTCTCTCTTGCCTTCTTGCAACGAAACCCTAAATTGCTCTTTGCTTCAAAACCCCAACAATGGCTTCAAAACCCCAACAATGGCTTGAAACCAAGCTTCACCATTTTCATCTGAATCCTCTAACGGAACAAGAACTTCAAACTCTCAATAACAGGAGCTCGAAATACAAAAGAAGTCTATTGAGCGACCACAACGCGACGAAAAAGTAGAGACCTTCGTAACATCTAAAGAAACAAGTTCGCTGGGTTCTCCCCGCCGACAAAGGGTAATCTTGTTTCTTCCACACACCACTCTCATCATTCTGTATGTATAGACTAGAAATTTTCGGGAATGATGAGTTCAACTTTAAGGGAACTCTTTTTGAGTTCCAACGAGGATGGAGTTTTATCGCAAAACAGACCGATTCATGAGAATAATGGTTAAAGAATTTTATAGTCTTCTCTTAAGGTTAACTCGCGCGCACTCACACGAATCCGATTTACTAACAACTTGAACGGACGAACATACAACGCGGCATATCTTACGCCAAAGCGTTCTCTTACGCTGACTTGAGCAAGATTTTTAATTTGCCAAACACTGGGTCTAGGGTAACGAAAATCAAAGATATTTCTAGGGTTAATGGATGCAAAAAGGAAGAGTTTATTAAGAAAATTGTTAAAAAGGTTCTGCAGATAAACAGGGTGTTATTGAATACTCAAACTTAACGGATAGTATGAAGTGGTTGTACAAACTGATTGTGCACTGTATTTATCCAAAGAGTATTGTGAATCAGGTTGAGATGTGTATTATGTGGCACATAGTTGAGAAGAAACCCTTCAATCTTTATCACACCATCTTTGATAAAATGCAGAATAACCCTAAGAAACTACCCTATGGCATGGTGCTTACACCTGTGTTTGAATTTCTGAAAGTTAAATTGACTCTCGACACAGTTAAAATTTGAATGAACCTCACGCTCTCGCCACTAGCTTCTCAAAGCATCAGCAACAGCTCGCGGCTCTTTGAAATGAAAGATGAAGAAAAAATGAAAGATGAAGAAGGAGATGAAGAAAAGGAAAAAGAAGAAAAAGAAAAGAAAGAAAAAGGAGAAGAAGCTGAGAAAAAGAAGAAAAGAGAAGATAAAGGACAAGCTAAGTTGGAAGAAAAGAAAGAAAGATTGAAAGAAGAAGAGAAAGAAAAGAAATTAGAAGAAGAAAAGAAGGAAGAAACAGAAAAAGAAAAGGAGACATTAGCTGAGGATGAAGCAGAATCAGAAAAAGAACAAGAAAAGGAAACTGAAGAGAAAAAGGATTCTGAAAAGGTTGAGAAAGAAAAGACAATAGAAGAAGCCAGTGATGCAGAAACAGAGAAACTGGAATTGAGTGAAGAAGATAGGTCAACTGAGGTCAAGGATGAAAAAGAATCTGAAATTTTATCAACTCAAAAGAGTAAAGAAGCTATGCTGGGCAAAATTGAAAAAGAGCTTATCGAGGAACATAATAAGGAGATCGATGAGGTGATAAAACAAAGTAAAGTTGTGATTGAGCATGATCAGTCCCTCATTGAAGCCTTAGAAAGAATGACGAATGTTAATGAGAGAAAGCTAGCTACTCTAAAAGTCAAGAGAACACCCTACACTCTTGCCTCAGAAAAACCAAAGAAAGTAAAAGAAAGTAAAGCACACTGCGGGCAAACACAGAGTTCATGGAAGAAAGCCTCCACTGCACCCTTCTTCTAAGCGACTAGAAAGTTCTACTGAAACCACTCCTGCTGACTCCAAACCCCTCTGACTTCTTAGTTTTGTCTATGTTTTGTGAACAATATTTTTTTTTGTGTCTTTGTAGGTTATGTCGTTTGAATTCTGTTTAATTTTTTTTTATGTGCTCTGATCTTTACTAACCCTTTTGTATGATGACAAAAAGGGGGAGAACACAGGATATTTTGATGGTTAAGTACGTACTCTACTAATATGTGGTAACTTTAGTATACATCCTCATTGGCTTATTATTTTCTAATCTGTGTTATTTTCTGTCTATTTCGTTGAGCTATATGTTTCTATATGATGAACTCATGTTTAGCTTTTAGAATTGTTTAGCTTTTAGAACTTAGATTCTTGTTCTAACGTATGCTCTGCAGGTTAGACTTAAGATTTCTATTCTATTTCTAATGTCAGTTTTTATTCTATTTTTTTTATGCTCTGACCATATGTTCTGATTATTAGAACTTATAATTTCTTGTCTATTTTGCTAGTTCTAATATCAATTTCTAAGAATTTTTCTTTGTTCTAAGTCTCATAAATATTTCTACTGCACCTATTTAGGGGGAGCATAATACATGTTCTAAATTTGCTTCATAATCAATCATATGACTGTGAATACTCAAATTTTGAGGCTCAAAAAGCCAGTTTCCCCGGACTGCAAATAGTCCGGCCGGACCGGAGGCCATTTGAAAAGTTCACCGAAAGTATGCCAATATGGTACTTGAAACGTCCGGAAAATTACGAGGAAACGGCCGGAAAATTTACGAGGATCGAGGGTAACTGGTCACCGGAATATTGTTTTGGAGGTACGGAACTCCCGAAAAAAGCCTTTGAACGAAAAAACGAGCGAGTGGACTAGGATGTAGGGCGGCAGCGGCCCGCCGCTCCACCGGCGGCAGCAGCCGCCCTTCCAAGCGCCCCCATTTGGTTTCCCCTATAAATACAGCCCCGAATCGACAGTTTTACCACACTCGGGTCTGTGTGACGGACGCCTCTCTCTCTCCTTACGCTCCTTTGCGGATTCTTCTACTGCTTTTCTGCATTTAGTTTGGCTTTTATTTACTCTGCTGTTGTGATATGTTGTTCACTAATTTGAATTGTTAATTTTATTGATATTCCCCAAAGGAGGAGCTTTAATCTGGAATTTTCAAACTGAAGCTAAGAAACGGCGGTGGGCCGAAACTCAGGTAATAAAACGAACTCTACCCGTTTTAATTTCATCATTTTTTTTGCCATTCTCTTCTACTCTAATTCTTAAATTATAATTAAATAAACTGCATTCACACCATCGTCATTTTAGCAAGCAAATTGTGCCTTTAAGTAAATAAGTTTTAGGCTAAAATGCCGGCTTAATCAATAAATCCCGGGTAAGTCAGAGGGTTATTAATGCTTAACTGCCGAAACATATTGGCTAAAAGTGACCTGGTTAATTAATTAACTACGGGTTTGTAATTTGCCATTTATTTCGACAGTTCGACTGAAAAGTCCAATTAATCAATAATATGTGGCTAAAAGCCTTAATCAATCACGTTTGCAACAAATTGCCTACAGTTTAATCAATTCACATCTTCTTGGCACACAAATCGGCCTAAACGTTTAATTCAACATCGCTTTTGGCAACCAAAATTGCCTATAATTTCAAATAACTTAACTTACATTTGGCAACAAATTCGGCCCAAATAATCAACCTTTTCTTTGGCAATTAAATTGGCCTAAATTACATATTCATCTTTTGGCACGAATGCCTTAATCCATGATTTGCGAACATAATCGCCCCAACAAAAACCCCTTTGGCACAAATGCCCTTAATCAATTCACTCTGGCGAACACAATCGCCTAACCAATCTTTGCAACAAATTGCCTAATCAAAATATCAACTTTTGGCACAAATTGCTTAATTCAAACCATTTTTTGGCGATAATAGCCCAAACATCAATTTTGGCAAAATAAATTTTGCCCAAATCAACACACCTTTTGGCAAACAAATGCTAACCCACACAAAAAATCAATCAATCGTTTGTAGCAAAAATGCCTTGAAATAAACATGGTAACGAAGCCATGCACACAACCCATGCATGAAGCTACTCCCTCTTCAAAAAGCCTCTCATGCTTAGGCTTTACTCGACACTACTCGTCTCGTGGCCTGATCTCTCATCTAATCTACGAGGAACTTACTGTAGGCACGTTCGGACTTTAACCCCGAGCGGCCGCAAGCTCGAGATCACCCCAACAACAACTCCACTGGTCCACATCTGATCAATTTACCTTGCAAAAGATACACTTCAGGCTTAGTCAATCAGCATGACGTAGTCTCGGGACCCCACCTCGGGTTCGTCTAGATGTGCGCTTAAACTTGTTTATTAATCTATTTATCTTATAATATATATATCTATAGGTTCTTTCTTTAGTCCCAAAAATAAAGGCGACTTCATTGTTAAACGAGACATTGGAGGCAGTACCTTTATCTCGAATATCTCTCTATCGAATGTTTTGGCGATCTATCTTATCTTATATCTGTTTAGCATAAGAGTGGAGCTAGTGATGGCTCTTGGTCTATCAAACTAAACCTACCCTTCTTTAGGTGCTGAACCCTCTCCAACCTCGGCCTTCCGAGGAGCATCTATCAATCTCCTCATCAGTCCCGTCCACTTTCATCGAACGCCAACCTGAGCCTCAAACCCTCAAGTGCATTTCTTTTAGCAGTGCGTTTCTCTCCTCTCTCTATTATCCAACTAGCTTATCTATATAACCAGTCTTTACTTCTAAAGAAGTTATATATATATATAACCACGCGGCTCAACTGGAATCAGACTTTCAATACGACCGGCAATTACCCAATCTTCGTCTCTCTATTTGTGTCCTAACCAAAGGGGGCATTGGGATCGCACCCTGTAATTATGTCTATCTCTCTATTATATGAAATGAGGACACATTTTCTCCATCATCTATCTCTATATCTAAAACGTGGGCCTGCGCTGGGCCCAAAATCTTGATGCAGGCCGTTTAAATCTCCATCTCTTATAACTACTCCCCTATATATCTATCAAAATTTATTAGAATTTATCTATCTTCTCCCCAATTGAATCTTTTACATACCTTTGAAGAGACTCTTAATCCAATCTATGCTGGTGTATATATATATGTGGATTCATCTTTTTTGGAACACAAAAGAAGAAGAACGACATACAAAGAATCTGAGGAAAAATAGCCAAAAGCATGGTCTTCTTGGACACGTTCTTATTTTTCGCTCTCTATATTATATTTTTTTCTCAGACAACCCACCGACTATACCCATACATCATTATCCTGGTGGCCCGGGCCCCGCTATCTACAGTACCTCAAGATTTTGAGGCCTCTCAACAAAGTCCTGTTTTCCCGGACTGCAAAACACTCGCGCCGGAGACCGAGGCAACACATTCCGGGAAAGTTCAACCGAAAGATGGCACAATTAGGATACTTGAAACCCGTCCGTGATTAATTACGAGATCGCGTGAACTGGTTTCCAAGTTCACCGAAAGTATTCCAATATGGTACTTGAAACGTCCGGAAAATTACGATGATCGCAGAACTGGTCCCGAAATATTTTTTTGGAGGTTCGGAACTCCCAAAAAAGCCTTTGGAACGAAAAAAACTAGCGAGTGGACAGGATAGGGTGACAGCAGCCGCCATCCACGGTGGCAGCAGTCGCCGTCCACGGTGGCAGCAGCCGCCCTCCAGCCTAGTTTTTCCCTATAAATACAGCCCCAAATCGACAGTTTTAGGCACTCGGTCTGTGTTGACAGAATCTCTCTTCTCTCCTACGCTCCTTGCGATTCTTCTACTGCTTTTCTGCATTTAGTTTAGACTTTTATTACTCTGCTGTTGTGATATTTGGTCACTTAATTGAATTAATTTTAATTAATATTCCCCAAAGGAGGAGCTTAATCTGGAATTTTCAAAAACTGAAGCTAAGAAGCGGCCGCCGATTAACTCAGGTAATAAACGAACTTGGCCATTTATTCATCATTTTATGCATATTCCTCTCTAACTCTAAATTCTAATTAAATAATTAAATAACTGCATTCACACCCATCGTCCAATTTTTGGCAGCAAATTGGGCCTTTAAGTAATTAATGTTTATGGCTAAAATATGCCCGATTATTATCAATAATCCGTTTGGTATTATGTTAACTCCGAACATATGGCTAAAGTGCCTAGTTAATTAATAAAACTACGGTGTATATTGCTCTTTATTTCAAACAGTTCGGCTAAAAAGTCCAATTAATCAATAATTGTGGCTAAAAAGCCTTAATGCATCACGTTTTGCAACAAATTGGCCTACAAGTTTAAAAATATCACGTTTTGGCAACAAATCGCCCTACGGTTTAAATTCAATTCGCTTTTGGCAACAAATTGCCTATAATCAAATAACCACTTTTTAGCGACAAATTGCCCAATTCTATATTCTCTTCTTTGGCAATAAATTGCCTAAAATTAACATATCATCTTTTTGGCACGAATGTCCTTAATCATTGTGCGATCTAATGCACCTCTAATCATAACTCCCTTTGGCACATTATGCCTTTAATCAATAATCTAGCGACAAATCGCCTAACCCAATCTTTGGCAACAAATGCATAATCTAAATATCAACTTTGGCACAAAATGCCTTTAATAAACCATTTTTGGCGATAAATGCCTGGCGACAAAAAGCCCAAACATCAATTTTTGGCAATAAATTGCCCAATCAAACACCCTTTGGCAACAAATGCCTAAAACAGAAAATCAATCAATATTTGGCAAAATGCCTAAAAAATGCACAAAGCATACACACACTCATGCATGAAGCATACCCCTTCAAAATGCCTTTGAATGGGCTTTATCGAACTACGTCAGCTTTGATCTCTCATTCAAACGAGAGTACGTAGGCACATTCGGGATTTAACCCCAAGCGGTAAGTCGAAATCACCAAAACACTTTACTGGTCCCATTGCATCATT